CTGCAATCCGGGGGGGGGGGGGGGGGGGTGGAGAGGAACAAGAATGTTCCACACTGGGACCCAATGAACAGGCCAGGGAAAGGTGAAGCCGAGATCAAGCTACAGCGGCAGCAGGTGGTGATTTTCAGAGGTGAACACGGAGCGTGGGATGTGGGTCATTCTATAGAAACAGCAATGATTCCCAGTGGCAAGGGCTGGATGCTTAATATGTCAAAATTAGAAACAATTATTTGTTTTATTGCAATCTAAACACCCATGCCAGAAGATGCTCCTAGAGACGGAACTCTGCTATCTTGTATTTCCTTCATGTTTTCCCTTTTTGGATCTCTGACTCGGGCAAGGAGACAGGAATTTGATTCACTGAGCGAAATTCAGCTAACTGGCTTCAGGCCACACACCTCGTTCCATGCTCACCAGAGTCCTCCCAGGAGGTACTACGATCCCACAGTACTGAGGCCCAGCGCCAAGGACAGAGACTGGCACACAGAAGGGGCGCGCGGCACGTGGCAGTACCGTCCCCTTCTCCAGCTGTGGAAAGCCGAGGCCCCTCGGTCCACCTGCGTCCCTTGTCACTTGCCCGCCACCCCTTAGCCCCCCCACCCCCCGCCCAAGCCAGCCCCCGGGAGGCCCCGCGCACGGGCCAGGCTGCGGGAGAGGTCTGCGCGGTCCCAGGAGGGCGCTCCCGGCTCTCCAGCGCACACTCAAGCCCCAGGGGTCCGTCCCCCGCCACTCCCGCGTTCAGCCCGGAGGTCAGTTCGCCGCTCAGCAGCGCGGCACAGACCGGCTCCGGGGGCTGGAGCGCGTGGACGACGCGGGCGGGCGGAGGAGCAGGCACCAGCGCGGCCCCTGTCCCCGGCGTGGGCCACCGCACAGCCCTTCCCCCCGCGCGGCCGGCTGCTGCGGGGCCCATCCCACCCCTCCGGCTCCTCGCTCCTCCCCCTGACCCCGGCGCCCCCCCACCTCCAGCCAGGAGAGACTCGCTCCGCCCGCAGCTCCCGCGACTCGCGCGGGGCGCTGCAGCGGCTGGAGCCGCGGGAGCTGCGCGCTCGCCAGGACTCAGACGGCGCCAGGAGCCAGGGCAGCCTCGGGGTCGGGGCCGCCATGAATGGCTCGGGTGGCCCCGGGGCCGAGGACGCGAGTGAGGCGGGCGGCAGGGACAGCTGGCAGCCCGAGGCCGTTATCGTGCCCATGCTGTTCGCGCTCATCTTCTTGGTGGGCACCGTGGGCAACGCGCTGGTGCTGGCCGTGCTGCTGCGCAGCGGCCAGGCGGTGAGCACCACCAACCTGTTCATCCTCAACCTGGGCGTGGCCGACCTGTGTTTCATCGTGTGCTGCGTGCCCTTCCAGGCCACCATCTACACCCTGGACGGCTGGGTGTTCGGCTCGCTGCTCTGCAAGGCCGTGCACTTCCTCATCTTTCTCACCATGTACGCCAGCAGCTTCACGCTGGCCGCGGTCTCCCTGGACAGGTGAGCGAGCGCCGTGGCGGCCCCGGGGGTGGGAGCGGGTGGTCCGGCACCCAGGTAGGGGCTGGAGAAGAGAGGCGGGACTCGAGGCTCAAGGTGGAGGGCGCGCAGAGAGTAGAAAAGGACACGAAGAAGGCAAAGGGACCGGGAGAGAGTGAAAGACAAGCAGGAGTGGAGAAGGAAAGAGGAATAAGAATAGGGGACTGCGGTGTCCCTCCGTTAGGTGCGTCCTCGCGGCTCCACGCTGCAGACCTCGGCTCTCCAGCGCCGCCAGCGCCCGAGCAAGCGCGGCGCTTCCGGGCACATCGCGGTTTTGCGTGCTTCGTCTCGCTTGAGCCGGGTGCCCCTGTGAAGCTGGGGCGGGAGGGATTACTGTGCCCAATTTACAGATGAGATCGAGTTCAGAATCGACTTGTTCAGATCTCCCAGCCTGTAATCGTGTGCGTGGAGCCAACGGTCTGTCTCCTGGCGTCAAACTCAGGCGCCTCCACCTCACTAGCCTCCATTCAGTCCACGGTTTGCTCGTGGCTCGGTGCAGTTGTCTCTGGTCCGGATTGCGGAATTTGGGTCCTTCGCAGGAGCCCATGCCAAAGTTCAAGCGAACACGCCCGAGGGTCCCTAGACCCCCACCCCCCCTTGCCCCCCACCTTCCGGCCAAGAGAGAGGGGAGATCCAGAGGGTCTCCTTTATCGTCCCCGTTGGAGCTTGGAAGCTCCTGGATGAGTCCTGGGGAGGAAATCTGGGACTGACTCCAGTATCTCCCCGGCCCCTTCTACCCCCACGTCCTCCTGACCTCCCCTGGACAGGCAGCAAGGTGAGGCCACCTCCCCCACATACCCCGCAGTTCCACTGAGCGCGGAGTGTGTCGGTTCCGAGAACGCTGGTGGGACCCATAGAGCGGCGGCTCCTCTAAGGAATTCCCTCGCGGTACCTGGCGGTGTCTCCAGGCTGTCGCTACAGCCTCAAGGCGCCTGGGGCCTACGTCTCCGGACACCATCACTGATGGGTAATCGCAGCCTCCCGGAGCTCCGAGGCCGGTTCAGCCTCGGGGTGCCTTCCCGGGTGGAGTGTGACTGTGGTCATGGAGCAGATGAGTGGCCTACACGCTCGCTTCGTCGTTCCTGCTGCCCGGTCCCGCCCCACATCTCAAAGCAGCTCCCGTGCGGTGCGACCGTGCGCTAGGGACCTTCCTCGAGAGAGGGTGAGGGCTTCGAGGTGTAAGGGTCCAACCCTACCCCCCGCGAATCCACCTGTTCACCCGTCTCCCTTCCTGACCCGACCCACAGGTATCTGGCCATCCGCTATCCGCTGCACTCCCGCGAGCTGCGCACGCCTCGCAACGCGCTGGCTGCCATCGGGCTCATCTGGGGGCTGTCGCTGCTCTTCTCCGGGCCCTACCTGAGTTACTACAGCCAGTCGCAGTTGGCCAACCTGACTGTGTGCCACCCGGCGTGGAGCGCGCCGCGCCGCCGCGCCATGGACCTCTGCACCTTTGTCTTCAGCTACCTGCTGCCCATGCTGGTGCTCGGCCTGACCTACGCGCGCACCCTGCGCTACCTCTGGCGCGCCGTTGACCCGGTGGCCGCCGGCTCCAGCGCCCGGCGCGCCAAGCGCAAGGTGACGCGCATGATCATCATCGTGGCTGCGCTCTTCTGCCTCTGTTGGATGCCCCACCACGCGCTTATCCTGTGTGTGTGGTTCGGCCGCTTCCCGCTTACGCCCGCCACCTACGCGCTGCGCATCCTCTCGCACCTGGTCTCCTACGCCAACTCCTGTGTCAACCCCATCGTCTACGCGCTGGTCTCCAAGCACTTCCGCAAGGGCTTCCGCAAGATCTGCGCGGGTCTGCTGCGCCGTGCCCCGCGCAGAGCCTCGGGCCGCGTGTGCATCGCGGCGCGGGGCACCCGTGGCAGCAGCGTGCTGGAGCGCGAGTCCACGGACCTGACGCACGTGAGCGAGGCGGCCGGGACCTCCGCCCCTGTGCTGGCGACTCTCAGCAGCCCGGCCTTGAGCCTGGTACCCGGCCTGTCCTGGCGGGACCAAAATGCCTCCAGCGGCATCCCGACAGTTAATACGACCTGAGGACACTTGGCGAGTATGCTTTGGTGTTAAAAGGATTGGAGTGAGAGGTCGGGGGATCGGGGAAGGAATTTCATCTGTTAATAAAATACGCAAAACTTTTCCCATGCAGTCAGGCCTGTGTCTTGGCATATCTTATGAGGCTCCGTGGTCTGAAGCCTCTGGGACTTCACAGGGGAGATCCGGTTGGATGGGTGCACGGTGCTTTGCTGATCCACGGGGAAGAAGGGTGGTCCGCACGGAAGGCAGCCGAGTGAAAGTCCCCGTAGAAATCCCTGACAGGGGGAAGAGCAGGACGGCCCAGGACCTCTGCGGCGGCCAACCAGAGGCACTGGGCATTTGTTTTTCTCCTGTTTTTGTTTTTGATTTTCTTTTTAAAAAAGATTTTATTTGACGGAGAGATCACAAGTAGGCAGAGCAGCAGGCAGAGAGAGGGGGAGAAGCAGGCTCCCTGCTGAGCAAAGAGACCGATGTGGGGCCCAATCCCAGGACCGGAGCTGAAGGCAGAGGCTTAACCCACTGAGCCACCCAGGCGCCCCCTCTTGGAGTATTTGTAGATCACGGAACCAGTAGCCACCTGTGCATGGGACAAAGGCAGGCGGAGTGTTTAAGTGCCCCGGTAAGTGAGTTGATGGCCAGGCGTAGACACCATGTGTGTTCCCAGGAACACCGATGTGCCAGCAAGTGGCCGGTCCCTCCCTGCTCCCAGCTCTCTGGGGCCCCTTCTGAGTGTCCCCAGCCCAACCCGTGCCCACCCACTTTCGGCCTTGAGGTTTCCTTCCCTCCCTTCGGCTATCTGGGGTCAGGTCTGCATTTCCAAAGGGCCAGGAAAGTCGCCCCCTCCCCCACCAGTCCTCCTCCAGGGCCCCCAGGAGCAGTTCTAAGTCACCGCTAGGCTGGAGCGGGAATGCTACAGGGCTCTGCTCCTGAGCTAGCCTCTACCCTGCCCTAGGTTTGCCCTACTCCTGGAGTTCTTGAGCCTTTCAAGGCTTTTTACGTGAAATCAGTTCAGTGTTTGAGGGGAGGCAGGAAAACTCTCAAAGGCGTACGGACCTCACGATGTTGAGAGCAGAGCACTTAGGCAAGGGCTTGACTATTTAATCAGGTAGGGACCTGCTACAGACACACAGGAAGCCCTGTGGCATCTGCCCAGATCAGAAGGACTGAGTCGGGGAAAGGGGTGTGTGTGTGTGTGTGTGTGTGTGTGTGTGTGTGTGTGTGTGTGTTGGAGGGGTGGAATCTGTGCCCACCCGGTCCTCTTGGCAGTCTTTGAAAGGGGCGGATTCCAGGTGGTGGAAATGGAGCGGGGCAGGGAAGCCTAGGCAGGTGCAGGGTGGGCAGGGCTGGGTCCTGTGCTTTGTCTTCAGGTGTTTGCGGAACCCTGGGGTGGGACCCCAGCTCCAAGGGCCCAGAGCCTTGCACAGAGCACCTGCCCCTAACTGCCCAGTCTCCCAGAGAAGCAGCTGGAACTGAGGCTGCGGTTTGGGCTCTGCGGCTCCATCCAGCCTTCCATGCAGCCACTGACCATGGTCTTGCAGCTCCTGCTGCTCCATTCGGCCTTCCTTAGGCTCAGCTCCTGGGGGCCCTTGGCCCAGGGGCGTGGCTTTCACTCGCCAACAGTTGGTAGGTGGAGAGTGTAAAGTCCTTAAGCTTTGGGATTTGGATCCCAGGGGACCCACCCAAATGACCTTGACCTCCTTCAGCCTGGCCATCCTTCTTCGACTTCAACTGGCCCCAGGAGGTTCAGGAAACCATCCAGATTCCAAACAATGGGAGTGCACCCCTGCTCGTGGATGTGCAAGTGTTCGTGTCCAATGTATTTAACGTGGTAAGTGTCCTCTGGCCATGGAGGGAAGCAGGGCCCAGGCGCTGAGTTGGGGATGGGCCAGGACAGCCCCAGCCAGTGGGGGGGGGCTCCTGCTTTCTCTTGTCCCATAGCGCTGACCCCCGGGTGACACACTGCCCCCTCCCTCAGGACATCCTGAAGTACACAGTGTCCTCCACGCTGCTGCTTCGGCTGGTGAGTGCCCAGGGGCAGGGAAGGTGGGATGGGAGAACCTTCTCTTTGTCCAGCTCAGAAGTACAGGTCTTCATCAAAGCCAAGCCAAGTGGCTTGTATATATATGGAAGCGGGAGCTTTAGTGGCTTCTTTATGTCCCCAGTCCTGGCTGGACACTCGCTTGGCCTGGAACACAAGTGTCCACCCACAGCATGCGGTCACACTGCCCTGGGACTCACTCTGGACTCCGGGACTCACTATTCAGGAGGCGTAAGTGAGGCGAGAGTTCTCATGCCAGGAGGCCCCCTCCCTGGTGGCCCACAGACCACAGGCACACCCCTCTGCCTCTGTCCCCCTCACCCTTCTGGAACCGGGATGGCAGGAGAGGGCCACTGGGCCAGGCTGGGGTCTCCCCTACCTCCCCCTTCTGAGAAATGACCAAGCCTCCAGCTGCACTATCTCCCCTCACCAACAGGCTTTGGGTGGACTGGCAGGACCAGAGCCCGCGGGCCCGAGTGGACCCCGACGGACATGTCGACCTGTATTTGGCCCTCACCACGGAGACCAACTGTGACTTTGAACTCCTCCACTTCCCCAGGGACCAGAGCGACTGCAACCTCAGCTTCTATGCTCTCAGCAACACTGGTGCTGACGGGACAGGAGCTGGGGGTGGTATGGAGGGTAGGGAAGAGGAGGGGAAGCCTCTGGCCTCCAGCGGACATGACATGGGGGCAGCCGGCCTGTGTTCACACCGGTCCACCCTAGGCTTAGGGGAGCTGGAGAGATCCTAGAGCAGACAGCACACTTCTCCCGTGCACCTCCCAAACAGTGGCCCGCCTCCCAGCTCTCCCCTGCTCCGGGCTGCGGCCCCCCCCACAGCAGCTGCCCTCAACGGCTGGGCCGCTTGTGTCAAGCCCAGAGCCCGAGGCTGCTGCACCCACCCAGTAACTAGCCCACAGACCCACCGGTGACGTCCAGCTCGGCCAGAACCCCCACCCTTGCCTCACATCCCTCTCCCCTGGGAAATACTACAGCTGCCGCCCCCTGAGGCTAACATCGCAGGTGTGAGCGGATATGCTGGTGGAGTCCAGACCACGTCCCCCTCCAAAAAGTGGGGCCAAGTGCATACTAATAGTTGCACAATGAAAATTCACCTCTGAATCTGAGAAGGCCCTTCCCCTGGCTGGAGAGAATGTGGGGGGATGCCCAGCCCGCGCACAGAGTGTGTTCACCTCCTGGTCTGCCTCCAGCCACCATCAGAAGTCTCCACCAGCCCTGGACGCCGGCTAGTCCCTGGCGCGTACTCCCAGAAAGAGAGGAGGGAGGGGCCGGGACCACTTCCTTCTTCCTTGCCCACTCTCCCCTGCCTCCTTCCAGTGCTAGAGCTGGAGTTCCGGGCCCGAGCAGTGAATGAGATAGTGAGTGTCAAGAGGGAATACGTCGTTCGGGACTTGAAGACCCAGGTCCCACCCCAGCAGCTGGTGCCCTGCTTCCAGGTGACGGTGAGTCGGGTGTGGCTGACAGAGAGCTGGTTGGGGGGGGTGGGGCATGAAGCTTGTGGTCACAGGCCACAGTGCCGCCTTTCAGCCTCCCAGACCCCGTGTGCCCTCCCACAAAGCCCTGTCTTCCTTCCAGTTGCGCCTGCAGAACACAGCGCTGAAGGCCATCATAGCTCTGCTGGTCCCTGGGGAGGCGCTGCTGTTGGCGGACATGTGTGGGGGGCCGCTGCCCCTCCGGGCCACCGAGCGCATCGCCTACAAGGTGACCCTGCTCCTGGGCTACCTTGTCTTCCACTCCTCCCTGGTGCAGGCCCTGCCCAGCTCCTCCTCCTGCAACCCGCTGCTCAGTAAGCCTTGCCCCCCTCACCTGGCCCTGGGGGGGTGCTCTGCCGAACTCCTGGGGCACGAGGGGTGCAGGCCTGGCCCTGACCTCCCCCCCACCGCCCGCAGTTTACTACTTCACTGTGCTTCTGCTGCTGCTTTTCGCCAGCACCATGGAGACCGTGCTGCTGGCTGCGCTGCTGGCCCGGGGCAACCTCAGGGCCCAGAGCAGTCCTGGCCCAGCCCCGAGAGGGGAGGACCCAGGGCCACGTCCTGAAGGTGGGCAGGGACCCCTTCCCGGAGCAGGGGTAGGGGGAGGAATAAGGCCAGGAGCAGAGCTGGCAGGCTGCCCACTAAGGGCTGAGGCCGGGGGTCCTTAGGCTGGTTAGGGGCTCCATGCCTTCACTCTGCTGGCTCCTGTGTCTGTCCTTGGAAGACGCAGGTATGGAGCAGGAAGCCAGGATAGCTTCCCTAAGGGCCAGGTGACTTCAAACTCCCAGAGATAACCCTATGCCCTCGCAGCCTCTCTACAAGGGTGCTTCTTCAGCTCCAGATGGCCTGAAATGGGCCAGACCCCAACATTTATCGGTTGTTAAATCGAAGGAAGGGAGAGATACGGGCTGACAGTCCCCAGGGTTCGCCCTCCTGCTCTGGGCCAGCATGCTGGGTGAGCCCTAAAAAACCACCTGCCTCTTGCCCCACCAGAAGCTCCCGGAGTGAAGGGGTCAAGGAGGAGCTGGGCTGAGGCCGCTGACCGCATCTTTTTCCTGGCGTATGTGGTGGGCGTAGCGTGTAGCCAATTCTCCTTCATTGGTTTCTGGATGTGGGCAACGTGCAAGTCTGACCCAGCCCCTGGCGAGGTCATACCCCACGGTGGGCAGCCCAGGCTGTAACAGGGCCAGACCCAGGGCTGCAGGGGGAGGGTCATGACAGGGCCTCTGGAGAGAGGGGGAGGGAGGATGACTCTCTCCCCTAAGCCCGGAGGATCCCAGGCCACCCCGAGTTCCTCCTTCTGATCGCAGGCAAGCAGAGTGTGAAATAAACCCGTCACCCTCAAGGGTCTGTCTTTGCTGGGCTCAGCTGCTCGCTCTTGTCCTAAGTCGGTGGGGCCGCCACTTTGCGCCCAATCCCCACTACACTCCTGAACTTGTCACCTGCCACTGTGTACCAGTGATGTGACCCCCATTTCTGCAACTACGGTTGCTCGGCCTTGGGCCCCGGGGGCACTGGGCACCAGGAGATAGGGGTGGGGGTTAGGCCACGCAGGGTGGCCAGAGCTTCTCAAAATTCCTTTTGCAGTGTGCGGGAACCCCGGAGGCGCAGGGAGAGGGCACTCCTGCTCCAGCACCTGGCGGATGCCTGGGAGGCAGAACACCCCGGATTTTCAGGCCCACGGGTGATGGGGAATACATTTTCTGCGCCCAATCCCTGAGCGGATTAATCCCGCTTGCTTTTTCTCCATGCCCTCTGGCTGCGCTGTGGCCCGCCCCTCTGGCCTACCCACGGTTCTGGGCTAGAGGGGGCATTCCCCACCCCCAGCTCTGACCCGGGCGGGAAGTGGGCTGTTTGCCCTCCTGCTCTTGTACACGAGGGAGCCGTGGCCCTTTGTCTTTCTTCTCTGTCCCTTCCTGTCTGGAAACCATCACGTGGCCCATGCAGGCTCAGGGTCAGGAGCCTTAAGGTGGAAAGGAACCCAGGTATTCTGAGAGTGCTAGTCTGGGGGGGGGGTCCAGGAAGAAACACAGACCAGGACTCGAGGGCTCGGGGACAGGGCTCTGGACTAGGGAAGGGGTGGAAGAAAGTCCCTCTCCCCTAGGATGTCAAACTCACCAGGCCAAGAGGCAAGTTAACACTGATTTATCTGTCCCGTAACATGGCTGCTCCGGCAGAGCCAGGCAGGGGCCGCAGGAGGCTCAGGCAGAGCCGGGCCGGGGCCGCAGGAGGCTCAGGCAGAGCCGGGCCGGGGCCGCAGGAGGCTCAGGCAGAGCCGGGCCGGGGCCGCAGGAGGCTCAGCGGACGTGTCAAAGAGGCGGTCGATCATGTCGCCCACCTGCTCCACACGGTACTTGATGTACTTCTCCGGGTTCTTGGTGAAGGGCACGCTGCCGTACCTGGCCAGGCGCTGAGGTCAGGGGCAGGCTAGCAGCCTCCCCAGATCCACCTCAGCCCAAGGCACTTCTGCAGCGTGCCCCTGAGTGATGCCCGTCTGGCCCCAGAGCAAAGCGCAAGGCACTGGCTCTGTCACCCACACCCACATACCCCTCCGTGTTTTCTCGAAGAAGCACAGCGCAGAGACCCAGCAGGGGAAGTGAAGGGCACAGGGCTGGGGAGGTGCAGGCAGAGGGCTCACCTTTGCAGAAAGGCCCCATAGGTCTCCCTGACAATATTTTTCTGCGCTTGGCGAATCTTGTCTCTCTGCTCCATGTCAGGAATAGCCCAGGCCTTCTGGATCTTGCACAATTCTTCAAGGCCATCATTGAAACCCTGGCCGCCAAAAAAGGTAGAAATAGAAGCGACCCAAAGACAAAGACTCCAGGCCAGTGTCCCTGCAACAGCAGCAGGGAGCCACGGAGGGGAGGGGACCCCAACTCACCTTGAACCGCTCCTTGATCATCTGCCGCTCCTTGTCCCTTAGCTGGGGGAGGTGAGATAGGGCAGAGAAAGTGTTCCTCAGAGCAGAACCGCCCGGCCACTGGCTCCTTCCCCAAATGCCTGAGCCCAGCCCTATCTCCTGCCGCTGTGGTGGCCACAGGCATCCTTCGCTCTTCCCATTTTTTTCCCAGCGACATGACAAAAAGTATCACACCTGCTAGACACCCCTTCCCAGCCCAGGCCTTCTGCGCACCTTGACTCCCGGTTGGAACACAGGTAGATTCTTCTCAGCGATGTAGTCAGTCACCTTTAACCAGCTGCCCGGTGGGGAGAGAAGCAGAAGGCAGAGCAGGGACAGTTCAGGCTGCTGCTTCCCAGGGGCTGGTTTGTTTTGTTTTGTACATCTCTGTATCTATTAGGGGAGGGGTGCTCCGCAATCGTTAGGGCACAGCTAAGCCGAGCACAACTGAGATTTTCCCTTGGAAAAAGAAAATGTTGGGGCTGGTGGCTTTCAAAACTAAGAACAGGAAACAGAATTCAATACATTGAACGAGCACTAGTAGCTGCACTTCACATCGATCTCCTGGAGAATAAAGACGAAGAAGTGGATGAGAAAGGAGGGAGGGAGCAGAGGACAGACAAAGCGAGCAGGAGGGAGACCACTCACACGCAGCAACACCAGGGGAAACACACAAACCGAGGAGGGACAGGGATGAGCAGCAGTGTGAGCGCAGCAAGTTCAAGTGCTCTCCCGACCTCGCTCTTTGCCCAGCCTCACATCCCCACACCCGTGAGGCAGCCTCTGGATTCTTCCTAGCATGCGCCCTTGGCACCCCACCCTCTGGAGAGGCTGCCATAGCAGCCCCCAGGGAGCAGGTGGTGGTAGAGGGGGGCTTCCCTCTCCATCCTGTGTGGTTAAACAGCAAGGGGAGCACTGGGTCCACAGGGGAGCACTTCCCCACCCCCGAAGCACTCTGACTGAAGCTCCGGTAGGAAGAGTGAGTGAAAGATTTGAGCCTGGGGGGTGAGGGGAGGGCGCGGCGGGGCCCACCTGCGCTGGTAGGTCTGGATCTGCTGCTCAATGTGCTCCCGGTAGGAGCGCTCAGCAGTCTTCTGGGTCACGGCCACCAGCTGGATCAGCTCAGACCGGGGGGGGGGGGGGGGGGGCGAGCAGAGGGGGACCAAACTGGTTTTCGGGGCCCAAAGGCTGCTGGTCTCCACAGCAGCACCCGCAGGGCCTGCCCCACACCGCCCCAGGTCCTGGGACTCCAAGGGGCAAAGCGCTGCCCTCCCCGCCTCGCCAGGCAGAGGGCACAGGTGGCCCCAGAAGGGCGGGGGCAGGGGGGAGCCTCGCGTACGCACAGGCCCCCTGCAGCCACTCACTTCTCCAGGGCCTTGAGGATGTAGTTGTAGTTGTTGTGCAAGAAGATGGCGCTCAGGGCAGGGTCCTCGTACACCTTGGACTTGCTCAGGAGGTTCAGCTGTAGGTTGCCCAGGACCTTACCTGCATGGGGAGGGAGTGGCGACATCCGGGGGCAGTCTGACCAAAACCACCCAGTCCCTGGCTCTTGAGCCAAGTCCAGCCCTTGTCCTTGTCCCTTCCAACCTCAGACTCCACAAGCCTCAGGAGCCCTCTGCCTGGCCCTGCTCAGCCCCGCAACGGGAACTTAGGTTACAAATCCCAAGGTCACGAAGAGGGCTTGGGAGTGGTCGGGGAGCAGCAGGAGGGCACAAGGGAAGGGAGGGAAAGGCGGGAGGTGGGCGCCCGGGGCTGCCAGCGGCACTCACAGATATAGGTGCTTAGCAGACGCTTGCTGAACTCGGAGCTGTAGCTGGTGGCAGAGGAACTGGTCTCTGGGAGGAGAGAAGACCAGTTACTGCAGCTGGGGCAGCAGTCAGGACCCTCTCTGGCCTTCCTTCAGCCCTGGAAGCAGCTGTGCAAGCCCTGGGAGGGGCCCCTGAGCCTTCCTCAGGCTGACTGGACGCAGAGGCGCTCGGGGGTGGGGCTGCTGAGCTGCTGGGCTCCTGCTGCTGCGGGGAGAACTGCCTCAGCCTCTTTCTGGAACCCAGGGCAAGCCCCTCTCCCCTGATGGTGAAGGCTAATGAGCAGCCCGTGATCAGCAGGAAGGCCGGCAGGACAGGAGCGGTAGGCCCCCTGCCCCCCAGCCCCGACTCATGCCGGGTGCTACCTACTCCCAGGCCCATTTATCCCACTGTGGGCTCCCCACAGCCTCTCCCCCTTCTCCCATACTGGGCTCCTCTGCAGCAGCAGGAGGGTGGTGGTGTATGGGGAAGGAGGGGGGAGGCAGGTGCTGGGCTAGCCGGGGGGGGGGGGGGGGGGGGCGTAGGCAGGGTGCCACCTGGATAAGCTCAGTGACAGAAAGTGGCCCTGCAGGGAGCAGAGAGAGTTGGGAGCGCCCCGAAGAAACTCATGTCCCCCCGACCCCCGCTCCCCACTAGGTCCTCAGTCTGTCCAGATGCCTCCGTCCCCAAGAAAACTCACCCATGGGGTTTCAGAGGGGTAGGATGGGGCTGCAGAGCCCTGCTGCTTACCTCGGGGGTCTAAAGGAATATTGTATGTGTCCCCAAGAACTACGGAGTGAAAGGCGGCGCACTCAGAGGGGAAGGGGGAGAGACAAAGAAGGGAAAAAGACGCAAAGTGCAAACACAGGTTAGAAACCGTGTCCCCAGAGTCAAGCAGACCCCACCCCGTGACAGCCAGAACACAGACAGCAGGACACACCCCAGCTGGACCCCTGAAGGTGAGGGAGCACGAAGCCAAGTGGGGATCTGAAAACTGCAGGCCAGAGGCCGCTCCTGGCTCCCTCGTCCCCAAAATGGAGGGAGGGGGAGGGCCCGGGGACCCAAACAAGTTGGGTTGGGTCTCGGTACTCAGAAATGCCAACCTCCTTCCATGCCAACCTCCCCAGCTCCAGTGCCAGGGCAGCGGTCAGTGGGAAGACACTGGGCCGGCCCTGAGACAGCAGCCCACAGAACGGTCAGCTGTGTGACTAAGCGGGAGGACAGGCGAACGCAAGAGCAGGTGGAGGAATGTGGAAGGTGGGGCAAGGCAGGTGGGCCATCTTCGAATCAGGGAGGGCCACTCTCCAGAGTGAGGACGTCGGAAGGAGTGAGAAGGGAGGGAGGTCGGGTCAGAAAAGGAACAGTCAGACCCCACTCCACCGGCTGGGGTTATCTCTCCCAGAGGTGGCCAGTCACCCCACGTCTCCAGACAAGAGGGAGGAGTCAGGGATGGGTAGAGGGCCCCACTGGGAGGTGCCAAGTACCTTGGGAGGCCAGC